ATGTATTTAATGCCTCATCAGAATAAAAGAACAAAGCCATCAAATGCAGAAAGCCAGTGAGATGTATCCCCTAACAGCACGCCTGCAGCCTTGAAAAGAGTGTGAACAGTCTCGTACCTCCTGGGTTCCTGCTGCTCTCTTAGGAGAGCACAGAGGAACACAAAATCAACACAACTAGCTTCCACACATTATTTTGACCCAGACAACAGGCTTTAGCTTGCTGCTTAAGATTTTTTTATTCTTTAAATAAAACTTGTGCTATTATTTCAATCTTTAAAAAAAGAATATAATCTCTTTCATATTGACCTTATTTATATAATTGCTGCCACGATCCATGCAATTAAATATTTCATCCTTCAAGAAACTAAGCACTTTGACTCCAATCAGACATTCATTTAAGCCAGGCTTAACTTTCAACAGTTAATACATACATTGGTGTGTGATTTGTGCTTTGCTGAGGTAAGGCTAACATATTAGTACTTCATAGGATTTATCCCTTAACTGATGTTTACACGCATACATATGTATCTACATATTTTTATATATACACAAATATTTTCACATGAATCTCATAGATTTACATGTATAATATCAGACTTTAGTAGTTGGGTCACTACAGGATAAGGAGCAAGCTTTAGTGCTTAGAATCGAGTGGTGACTTCTGCATAATATGATATATTAAAAATAAAAAAAAAAGGTCTTATGATATAAAATATGAGATAACAACACAAAGGGTGTTACAGTCACTTCATAGAGAACAGTAGAGATTCCTCACATGGGATGCCATATCTCTTACTGGTTACTCATCTGCAGGGTTTGGGAAAAGCCTGACACGAAAATGCAGATTAGTCTGCTTGCCTTAGAAAGCAAAGAGCGAGAGAATATAGGATGAGATCTGCAACGTAACTAACAATCTAATGCAGAGTCTCAATTCTTTTTTAACACACATCTTCAGTCAACAACCCCTTGCCACATTTCATATTACCAAAGTGGCTTCTGGCAAGACCATCTCCTGCCACATCAGCTATTTGTATCATCTTTCTGGTGAGATTTTTTTCACCAGCAGAGAAGTGGCAGACTAAAGAAAGAAATTATTATGTGATTAGAAGGGAGAAGAATAAGAACTATTCAATGGATCAGTTTTTCTGTACAGCATATACTCTGCGACCGTATTGCAGATGGAAATCACTTTGGGCAGTAAGCAGTCAGATTAAAAAGGAACTGAATTCTTACACAGCTAAAAATAACATCCAAAATAGTTGTAATTACTAACTTTGTAACAAATGTTAGACATAGCGTGCTTCAAAGGTTAAGACAACACAGAAAGCAGCACTGCCTCTGGCAGAGCCACTAACACGTGCTGGTGCTAAAAGCACTGTGCTCTTGTCCTTCCTTGTGCCAACATTACTCCTTTTTCCCAGGAACATTTCATCCCAATGAAGTTACTGGGAGCTTGAGTGGTTCTATTTCCAGAACAGCTACAAACAGAGGCATACCGGAGGCATCCGGACACATCTGACATCAGTAGGGCTTTGCCACTGACTCCACTGCCATGAGGAGACAGCCAGCATCAGCAGATCTCGATTCTGCTGGATGACCTTATTTTCTGCAGAGATACACATTTTCTTTTTCAATAGTTAGACAGTATATCATTTTGGAAGCAAAGGTGGTGTTTTTATCTGGGTTGCTTCTCTAAAGCACTTAAAAAATACTTTATTTTTAAAAACTACTGGATTTTTTTTCCGGATATCATAGCATTATTATTTTCTCTGTACAGACTTCCGTTTGAAAATGAGATTGCGAGGCTGAAATTAAACTCCAGTCTGAATAAACAAAATAGGAATTTCAAGATTAAAAACATATGTATCTTTTATCATAAAAATTTCATTGATCACAAGCGGAGTTTTGAACATACTACAAGACAGAGCCTGTAGGCATAGACATTCAAAAAATATTTTAAATTTAAAAAAAAATTCCATTAAATGGCTACAACCCATTCTTCAACCAAATGTGAGCTTGTGAGGATAGCCATGGAAGAGCTATATACGATCAAATCAGGAGCCTTCACGTTTTTTCCACAGTGCTGAGATTATTCAGAACTTTTTCAACATTGTCAAACTTATGTTTATAGCATTAATGCCAGTACAACAGTAAATTGTAACTCTATGATGTCTCAAATGGATTAGTTCTTTTGGCTTTTGGGGTACTTTTTAATAAAGATTTTCTTCAAAATGGTAGTGTGGTTCTTTGTACTTAGAATTCCACCCGGCATGAGTTCATTGCTTAGTTGACAGTTTTGAGAGGCACTAAAAAGTGAATTACTCCCACCATCAAAAAAAAACCCCAACCCAAAACAAAAGAAACAAAAAACAAACAAAAACCCCAAAACAAAAAGAACTTTCTGAAATACACCTAGCAAAGAGAAGCATTTTTCATTTCCTGCCTTGAAGCATTACTACTTCCCTCCCCCCAATTCTGTGTTTTTCCCTTTTCCTCCTTATTCTGGCATCTGAAGAATTAGCAGATAGAAACCAGCATTTTCCCTGCAGTCTTGGCTGATAAGGAAATCAGCAAGGAATCTTGTAAATTCTTTTGTGGTATCAAAACTGTGCCTTAATATTTCCTTTACCTAATGGACTGCATGTGAGTTAAGTGATTATGACAAATCTTTTTCTTTTTCCTGGTCATCTGTAGTTTCTACGTCCCATCCAAAACAGATGAGAAGTTTTGCAAAACAAGATTTTGGAAAGTCGATAAGAAAAAAAGAGACCAAAAGAAGAATATTGCCCAGCACAAAAGAAAATGGCAGGCCACAACAATAAGACAGAGGATTAGGGATGAGTAAGCACTGGAAAGTTCAGGCATACTGAGAGGATGAATGTGAGAAACAGGAGGAATATATCAAAATGGCTTAGACAAGTTTTCTTTGCATTATGAAAGCAGCAAAAAGGTGACATGATAAACTGTAGAAAAATTCAGGAAGAGAGGAAAATATTTTGCCCACTGTTATCACATCACTGTGCAAACAGACAGCCCTTAGATTTTAGGAAAGATGATTCTTTGGGACACATCCAAAAACTAACTCACACATTTTACATTTAAAATAGAAATGGCTGGATAATAGGATGGAGAATATTTTTTTTTAAAAAAAAAATATTCTCCCCACAAACTTTCATTGAGATTAGCCTTGATAGTCTTAGTGAGATCTCTTTTTTTTTTTTTTTTAAAAAAAAGAAATCTGGTAGATATTCAGGTTTCCAGTCCAAACCTACCGAGTTCAACATGCACACACACGCAGGCGCACAGAAGGCTGCTGCTGATTTCACTTGACTACTTGGCTCAGAGGTTTGCTATAGAAGCCGCTATATATTCTGTTCAAATCCAGTGGTTCCAACAGGAAAATTTCCCTTGCAGGGATGAGGATTAAAACATACTGTCTTCCAAGAACACAAGCAGTTTACCTGAAACACTAGACCATACACTGCTGAGACACAACGTGCAGGCATAGGTTTTTCAGAGCCCAAAGGCAGAGAGCTGCCTGAGGACTCTGTTTTTTATACATTAGGTATGTCTACTGCATCTTTGTATGATTCCCCTCCAGTCGTTAGTGGGCTTCATCTTCTAATCATTTTTCTATACCAGCTGTTCTTTGAATAACCTTCGACTTACTGAATAAGCTCCCATTTTTCTTCATACATAAATTCTCTCTCTTTTTTTTTTTTTTTAGATCAAGTCTTTCTTTGGGAAAAGAAAAAGAACAAAACAAACTAGAAAAAAAGAATTTAAATGACAATGAAGATGAGCATTCTGCAGCCAGGAAAATTATCAAAACTCGCTGGATGTCTAGCTAAGAATATATAATGGCACACTTTGCTCATGTACCATTTATCACTATCTTATAAGCTGCACATGTTTCTGACTGATGCTATTCCCTAACCAGACATCCCTACCTTCCATGTTTGTATATTTATTCCTTTCATCATCAATCACCTTATAGCTGTCTTTATAGAAACTTGTATTACTGATTTAAAAAAAAAAAGTCAACAATTTATCAAGATCTACTGTACAAAAATATTTCCAGATCATCCATTGTGGTGATACTACCAATGAAGAATATGTTTGACTCAGTATCAGCCTAACAGGAAGAGCAAAGAGAGACATTGAGTCAGAGAGAGATATTCTATTTAGTGTTTTTATCTATTTTTGTTTATGAAAATAAAAATATTTCCATGGAAGAAACTCATCTAAAAGTTGCTGAAATAATAAAATTTAATAGTTTTATTAAATTTTAATATTCATAATTTTAATAAAAATAGTCCGGGGGGGAGGAAAAACCCAACACACTAATTAATAGCTTTGCTATCCCTACAAACACCTAAATAATCCATCAGTCCTGTATATATAAACTTTCCTTTGAGGATTAACTATAGTTAGAAACTAGGATTTAAGTGCTTTCAAAATCAGTATGTTTAGATGGTTGTCTCTTATAAAGGTCTGAGGATTATTTTTTTCCAGCAAATAACTAGGGTATCTCTAAAATATTATTAAATAAATATACAAAATATTGCATTGTGAAGGATTAAAGGAATGGGATGCACAGGTTCTGACATTAAAAGGCCATACATGTGCAGCTCTTCAACTTTTTTGTTCTGGTGCTTTTTGTTAACACAATTTGTAACTTCAATGTTTGGCAAAGTTTTATTGATAGATTTTCCACATTTTCAATCCTACAACAGATAAAAACCCAACACTTCCAACAGAAACAGCTTACAAAATACTCCATATCAAAAATAAGGTGATACAGAGAATTAGTATGATATACAGTGCTCTACAACTGCTATTGCATATTCCTGTCACAAAGACATTCTAATCACCAAGCCACCAGTTGGGTGAAGACTTCCTTCCCGCTATCATTAGCATCTGCCTCTCCACAGCTGAATAGGAGAGCTTTTTTATTATTATTCTAACATAAAAAAAAAGTTCAATCTCATGTTTCCAACCTGGTCTCCAAAGTCCTCCGGGAACTTCCACAGTACCACTGGATCTGTAAATAATTGACAGACAGCATTAATCAGAGGCAAAGGAACAGAGTATTACAGTCAGAGTACATTAATATTAAAGAGAGGGTCAGCTTAGCGTCAAGCTTTGAGGCAAGCGCAAAAATGTATCTAAAAACTAAGAAAGATACTGGATTATTAAAAAGACTTATTTCATATTTATGAAACTATATGTTTATTGGTTTACATATGATACCAAGTTTAACATACTGAACTACTTTCATATTCAACTCTTTCTTTTTAACATTTGAGTACTTCATTTTTTAAGCACATGTTCAATTTTTGCATTTTAATTTTATTAAGAAATAAAGTGATATAAAACCTCTTTCCATCCAAGAAAAAAAAAAAAAAAAGATGTAAAATGATAAGAAGGGGAAAACAAAGATCTCTATGAGGTATAGAAAAGTAACATTTGTGATTTTAAAGATAGTACCAATGTAACCAGCACTCTCAAGGAAGAGTTTAGAAGAGCTAACACATTTGAGTATTTTCTGTTCAGAGCCATTTAAAACCAGCATTTCAATAATATCTTAAAATTTTCATTAACCTATTATAAACTGTTAATTATCAAAATAATCAGTGTTATTTAAGCTATACATTAGTCTACAATTAACAGTATTTTGAAGGCCTCTAACACAACGACCTGAACCATAACCTTTCAACAGAAATCGAATTATTCTCTTCATCCTCCCCAAAGCTTTTAATCTCCTGTGATACAAAACCTTCCCGAGGTGCTACTGTTAAACTGTATCACAAACACCCATGAAGCTTCACAGCACTTCTATACAACAGATTAGCAGCAGCATTTGTCCATGTGCTAAAAATGAAATTACCCGCCTTCCTGCAAGGGAGACCGAGGTCGGTGCTAAAGCCTGGACTAGAGGGAAAGCTCTCCAATTTCTGCTCACGTTCTAGCCCATGTCAGGCAGATCCTCCGGCCACCGACTGCGCAGCTGATGATGGCTCAGGGTACCAGAGGGCAGTAAAACAAATGGAGAAACCCGCCAGTACATGCTGGAGGACACTGCCTGATGAGAATTGCAACCTCTTGGCTACCTCGGGAGCTGCTGGGATTCCTGTCTTCTGAGGAGCCAAGATCTGGGAAACGTATTCAGATTTCCACTTCAGTCCCTAATGCTACAACTGTCTGATAAATCAGAAACTTCCTTCTTATTGCTACATTTTACATCAGAACCAGAGCGTTCTCCACTTCTGGCGAAGCATGGAGGTTTCTACTCTTCATCCTCCCATGTATGTTTGCTGCTGTAAATTGAAGCTTTAATGGAAGGGAAACGCTATTGATGATATTTTCATTCCCAGCTGCTGATTTCAAATCCTACTATTCAACATGCAGCTGCTGCGCCCATGTTTGCCGCTGGCCCACTCACAAGGGAGCTGGAGACTGAAGCCAGTATTCCTTTTCACCCTGGGCCAGATGTTTAACCAACAGTGGAACATACACTTCAGACGTGTTGCAAAATTCAACTTGCCAATCAACTGAATCTAATTTAGACCTAATTTACATGTAATTCAAATCTAATTGAGATTTCAGATAAAAATGTGGCCATTTGACTCTTCTTATTGGACAAGCACATGCTCCTAAGAACATCTGGGGAGGGTTCCGCAGCCATTATTTACAAAAATGTATGTATTTTGCACAAGGAATCTTCCTCCATCTACTATGGGGAGCAAGAACTTTTGGAGGCAGACATGAAACGAGCTAAGATGCTATGTTTATAAAAATATGAGAGCCAATAAATAGTTACTTAAAACAGAGACCTTTTTTCCCCCATCTATTTCATGCGTATTTAATTCACAAACACATCTGTGTAATGACCAGTTACAAGAGGAGTTTGAATATCTGAGTGCCTCTACTGTAAGGGATCTCTTATCTTTATTCCAATTTAGTATCACTGTCCTGGTTTTGGCTGGAATAGAGTTAATTTTCTTCCTAGTAGCTAGCATAGTGCTGTGTTTTGGATTTAGTTTGAGAACAAGGTTGATAACACACTGATGTTTTAGTTGTTGCTAAGTACTGCTTATGCTAGTCAAGGACTTTTTCAGCTTCCCATGCTCTGCCAGGTGCACAAGAAACTGGGAGGGAGCACAGCCAAGACAGTTGATCCAAACTGGCCAAAGGGGTATTCTATACCATATGGCATCAGGCTCAGTATATAAACTGGGGGGAGTTGGCTAGGAGGCTGCAATTTCTGCTCGGGAACTGGCTGGGTATCGGTCAGCGGGTGGTGAGCAATTGCATTGTGCATCACTTGCTTTGTGTATTGTTATTATTATTATTTTCCCTTCCTTTTCCGTCCCATTAAACTGTCTTTATCTCAACCCATGAATTTTACTTTTTTTTTTTTTCTTCAATTCTCTCCCCCATCCCACTGGGGAGGGGAAAAGTGAGTGAACAGCTGTGTGGTGTTTAGCTGCCTGCCAGGTTAAACCACAACAACCATGAAAAAGAAAGTAGTTATACATCAACAGTGATCTCTGATAAATTCAAGCAGCGGCAAGCATGGTAACAAATATCAAATACTCAATGTTAAGTAATTCATAAATTACTTGTTAAAAAACACTGGAAATTGTGCACAATCCAAAAAATACCTTAAAAGAGCTTGCAAATCTAAAGCCATATGTCCACAAAAGTTTCAAGCATAAATTTCTCTGCAAACGAGCAATCCCACTGCACTCCCACTACCAGCTACTTGTTGGTGATCCTGTACCATCATCTCTCTCCTGCTGGTGGAGACTCTTCCACGGCTACACACTGAACCAGATTAGGGAACTGACCAAGATCAAACCAACTGCCTGGAATTTTTCAGATCAGCGTCAACGAGATCAGTTCCCCAAAACACTTGGTTTTCTGCCAGAAAAAAGGAAGAAAAACCAGGGAATGGGGAGTTGTGGTGAGAAGAAAGCAGGACTACTTCACCCAGCAGCAATCCGGCCTTAAGCATTTGCTAGACCTCATGAAATACAAGCTGGTTGCTAGCTGCATCTAGTTCCTTTTCTTATCACCTACTTCTTGTTCAGAACTTCCCAAGTCTTGTTGTACCATTTGTAGTTCTTTCTACTGCAAAACTCGAGAGTTATTGTCTGCAAATAGGTGCACAGACTGTTCTGCAGTAAGCCAGGGAGAAGTGGACTTGGCAAGTGCACCTCTTCGTAGCAATGAAAGCGGGCAGATTATTTTGGCAGATGTGAAGTAGTTACATGAGAAACATTTAGTATATTGAATGCTTTAGCAACACAGTAACAAAATCACAGGGGTTTTTGATACTTTGTAAAATGTTTAATGTATAAAGTTTTAAATGGGAAAGAAATGTAATTTCTTTCTTTTGCTGTTCCTAGTGGAAGTATAAGTGCCAGGCTTCAAAGAAGGAAGCAAACTGCAATAGCAAAACCGCCAAGCATAATGTTAAAAGGTCATAATCAGGAGCAAAGTATAATCTCAGAATTCAGCAAGACTTGTCTCTAGGTAACTTGGGGCTTGGGGTGACAAAATGGGTAATATCTTCACACCTCAGCGACATGCCAATGGAGCTGAACAACATTTCACAGGAGCACCCTTTACCTACTGGCAACAAGATCAACAGCTCCAATATTTCTTTTGGTGCCCTGATACGCTAACAGATATAAAACCTGCAACTATAATTTAGTGTCCTGCTCAGTTTGCTATCTTCACTTCATATTGTTAGGGCTCTCGTACTACTTTGGTCTCATTTGAAATAATAAAAACAACTCTGAAGTAAACTTCAGTTCACTGAACTACAGGTATAAAAGCATTTTCATATAATGAAAGGATATTTATCATGAGAGGATAATGAAATTCATGTGATCTAAACAGGCAGAATAATGCTCTTAATACTCTTTTGTGAAAACAAAAAAGAGCCAATGTCTAAAAAAACAAAACCATTCCTAACTCAATTCAAGAAAAACATTCAGTGCTACATTCAGCAAAAATTATATGCCTCCAAGACTTGTCCAACAGCTTTGAGCTGGGTTTTGCAGTTGTTATTACTGGCTTCTAACTGGTTATTTTAGTAGGTACTTGCCATACATTTATTAAGTAAGAAAATCTGATGTGACTTGTGCTTCAAAAAGAAGTGTTACTATACTCTTTCTATGCCTTCGCTCTCTGAAACCAAACCCTAACACCTATAAAAAGCCTTGGGATTTTATGGTAATTATCCAAGCCAGGGATTGGGCTTTTTTCAAAAGATTATATTTGTTTCTGCTTTTGGAGCTAGGCTCAGGCAGCATCTGACACATCTTTGTGGCAACTTCTCACAAGTGCTGCAAAGGAAGAAACAAAAGGGTACTGATTTAGAAATAAAAAGGGAAAGTATAATCCGATTCTGCAACTTTATGCACTTTATCTTCAGATTTACAAAGACTGAATTTTCTTTTTCCTGAGGATTACTTTCCAGATACCCCATCTGATCTGGCAATGTTAGGTCAATTTTATGCTGATTTTATGGGCGAGAGGATGAGAATCACTCAGAAATAGCTGTTGCTATAGCCAGCTGAAGAACTATCGAGTTTCTCCTCATTTTTCTAACAGACTTTTTGGGACAAATGCTTTGCACCGAGTCTAAGTAAATGTAGTAGTAAGGGGAAATTGTTAAGTGCACACATAAAGTAGTTTGTGTGTTGCATGTATAAATAGATACATGCACGTACAAGCATCACTTCTTCCTATGCCTACTGCATCCAGGACAGACATTTCTTACAGAAGTAGATCTTAGCACGTGGCAGTAACACTTGAAAATTCCTTTGCTAAATATCCTACAGCATTGGAAAGTATACCTCCCAGGTGTGAATTTCACACTGTTGTGAGGCTGTAGCTCATGCACACATTCCTAGACATAACTTGTGACATTTGACTTATTTGACTACTTTTACACCATTTGTGATCATGTAAGTCTGTCTACACATATTTATTATAAAAAAGCTTTCTTTTAAAGATTCAGAAAGAACA